ACCGTCTTTTATTTATGATTTTTTTAAAATGATGGGTCACTCTGAGTTTAACACACAGTCTGAATGTGAAAATAGTCTCCTACTTTAGCTTTTGATAGAAAATAGGCATAAAAACACTCTGTTCTGAAAAGCCTGACAGATCTACGTCACACTGCCCCTAGAGACACTGTGTGATTTTAACATTAAACTCTGGAAATATGTTGTTGAAAACGATGCCCTTTTGGCAGCTTTGTAACATATAACCATATAAATCGGGTCTGAAATACATGGGCGTGGGCCTGTGGGTGTTACTCAATGCCAAGGAACCTCACCTTGATGTCTTGGTCTTGTCCCGGTTGCCTAGGAGATGCATCATCAGGAGCCGCCAAGACGTGTTCCAATGTTCATGTTCTACCGAGGCGTGTGTTCTCTGTTTGTTAGCCGTTTAGCTAGCTGAGCAAGGATACGCGGGAGGTGTCTTGTAGCCTAGCCTTGATCAAAACTTTCCCAGAATTCACCGCAGTATTTTCAAAAGAATGGCGGATCAGAAGCCGGCAGCTACTTTGGGGGCAAATTTCAAGTTTAAAAGTAAGTCAACTAATTTAAAATGTTTTTTTCAGATCCAAAGAAGTTATCTGTAGTTAATTGCTTAGTAGTTGCAGCTTCGGTGGCTAGCCGGTTGTAACTCACTTATATATTTAAGTTAACAAATATATTCACAATTTAAAAGGCAAAAGGCTCATTATAAATTTATATTGAAACTAATACGTATAAAATATAATGTTATCTCCCGTGTCACATGACGTTATGTGACCGCCGTGGAAGCCGCGGTCATGTGATATGCAAGTCTGTTCCATTTAACAGTTTTCTTTGACCAAGGAAGGACAGTGTCCTCGTAAGCAAGGCGCCTGGCCTCGTAAAGCCGGGCGTACATTGTGCGACTTTTTCACTTTTTTGAGCCGATTTTCCAGTCGTGCGAGAAGCCACGACATCGGGGCGAGTTTTGCGCCGAGCGGTCGTGTAGTGTACAGGGGGTTACGAGAGGCGATTAACACCACGTGACCAGCCGCCGATCAGCAGTCGTGAGGTCGCACGGACTTCTGGTGTGTTTAATATTTCGCTCGTCCCTCGTGAGGGTATCGCACTGTTGAAGCGGCGCTGCGAGCAGCTGCGAGCAGCTACGATCCAAAAAGTATCAGAACCGCTCACGGCGCATGCGCGCGCGATCCTGCATCAACGCCGGCCGGTCGCTCGCTATTTCCCTAATAACACACGCTGTGCGTTTTTGTTTCTACACGTTTTTTTTACTCACAAAGATTGTCAAGAAAGCGTGTTTGTCGTGTTCATGTCAAATTAAACTGATCACAAAACACAGATTTACTTTCTTTATTTCGTTTCCTCATCCAACCCCCATAAATCCCTGTGTGTCCTCCTGCAGCACTCCCGAAGGACAACAGGCAAGACAAAAAAGTCTGACGTGTTGAGTAAAAACTGCTATTTTTAGCACATTTTTAGGGCCGACGTGTTGCTACCAGACGTACAGTGTGAGCAGTCAGGTCGCATGCGAGAACTGGGTCGTGCAGTGTGAGCACATGACTCGTGAGATCTGCTCTGCGAGGAAGTCGTACAGTTTGAGCTGAAGCTGAACGCTGCGAGTGAAAAAGTCGCACAGTGTACGCCCGGCTTAAGACATCGCCTCGCAAGGCCAGGTGCCTTGAGATTGAGAAACACCCTAAGTCTCTGGGTGATGCCATGCTAGATGCAATGTTTTCTTCTACAGGAGCCCATGAGGACAAAATGCATTTACTGATTTGTAGCAAGCAGTAACAAAACTTTTGCTATTCATAAACGTTGTTTCACACATTTACCTCTTCACTTGTTGCCAGTGATGAAAGGAAGTCTGATGTGCTTGTCATTTTGCTCGAGGTTGATCAATCTGACAAAGTACTCGTTTGAAATTTGCGCTCCCAAGGATTTTTGACCCTGATTGCTATCCGTTGGTAAGGTCTTACTCAAACACAAAAATACTGTTTGCTTGCAATGATTTAGGTATGTACTTCCCCCTATAGCCAGGGAAAATACACACTGTCACTTTAAAAGTCATGGACTCACCCATGTTGACTCGTAATGGGGAAGGCTGTTGTTGGTTTAGCGTCCAGGAAGCCACAGAGAACGTTTGGGCTAACAGAAGCTAACCATTAGCATTAGCAACTCCATAACACAGCAGAACTCCATCAGGCTCGTGGTATTTGTGGAGATAAAACAGAGCAAATGAAATCAGAGATAATCGTGGCTGTTAGCCAATCAGAGGCGAGATGTCCAATTATCAGGAAATATAACAACAAATCCTGTCGTCTGAAGCTAGTTTCTTCTCCGGCTGACTTCTATGCCCTCAAACAGCTGAACCAGAGCCTTTATTGCCCAGAGAACAACTTACAAAGCATTTTTTTTCTACGAGACCACTGAAAATGTATTAAAAATATGATTAAAATTGGCCTTTTAAAGAAAAGGAGAGAACGCGGATATGTCTCATGATAGTTTCAGTCTGGTGAATGTTTTGAAGTCATGCAACATTTGAAGTCATGCTACATTTAAAGACATCTAAACTACAGTTAAAGTTACCAGTTGAGCAGATTTTTGCTGTTTTGCATCCATCTCAGTTTGAATGGCTCATTAGTGCAGTAAGTATGTGATATACTGAGACATGCCTTCTGACAATGAGATTTGCTTGCATCCCTGCTCCTTTCGTTTTCCCATCAGGCCACTAGTGAGAAGGCTTGCAGGGTGTTGGCTTTATATGCAGTTTAAAGTAGATTAAGATTGTTCTAAAACCCCAATATGACACATTTCAAGAACGTTTACCAGCTGTTTTTCTTGTAATTCTACCAAACCAACCACGTTTCTTCAGCGCCCCCACCCCCTTTAAAATCTCCCTCAATCCAGTTGCAATAACAGGTGGCTTGTGGGGGTTTGGGTGAACGCTACTCAGCAGCTGCACAAAGGGACTCCACCAGGGTCCTTTATAGATGTGGTGTCCCCGCTCAAGCATGCGGAGCAGCCTCTGGCCCAGCCCCCACCCAGGCAGATGCTCTGAGACATCCACAGGTGGTAGACTGAGGAGACACAGTGGTCTTTAACAATGTTTCTGCGATAAAGAGTTCACTTTAAACCTGGGGTTTGCCTCACTTGATTAACAGGCACGGAGTGGAACTTGGGTGGAGTGACTTGTTAAGCACTGGCAGAGTCACCTGGAGTTCTGTTTACAAAGCAGGGGCGCCTCCAGAAAAAATTGAGAGGGGTGGCCAGATGGGGCCAAGACATTTTTGGGGTGGCACACCAAATTGGTCCTTGTGGTGACTCGGGTAGAATTTAGACATCTAAACTACAGTTAAAGTTACCATGCACTGCGATGAGGGTGGGGGGTGGGGGTGCGGCAATTTTCTAGGGGTGGCTGGCCACCCATTGGGGGCACCCTTGTTACAAAGACAGTTTCATGTATACCAAGTACTTTGGCACTTGGTGTACCAACTCTTTGCCAATGTAAGTGAAAGCCTACAAGAAAATCCACCGATCTCCAAAACAACACTGAAATAAACTGAATACTAGAACATTATAATGTGAATGCAAGACCAAATGTAGTTTCTACTGAGATAAATCAGGGGACATCTCGTACTGTGCCAAAATACCAGATAAATCTGGTAATTAAACATTGCAAATGCCTCAAATGATAAAAATACAAAATGTAAAATGCTTACTAAAACCCCAAACCTGCAAAATTGTTTCAAATGTTTAGACTTTTTGCATTCCTTATAGTTCTTCTTTAATTATGTAGCTTGCCTTCAATTTACTTTTATAGTTATGATACTAGTCAGCTGCTGATCAAATTTAGAATAGAATAGAATGGAATAGAAAATCCCTTTATTGTCTCTCAGTGGACACGTTTTGGTGTCACAGCAGACAATTACATTCATTATAGGAGCTAAAGGAGAGTAAAGAATGAAGAGAAAGATTGAAGACTAACAACAAGAACATATTGTGCACAAATAGTAAAGATTTTAAAAATAGTACAAGAGTCTAAATTCTAAATATTGAAATCTTAAACTTTTTAAGAAATAAGATACTGTGGGGGAAAAGGGACAGAGTATTTACAGGGATTGGGAATAGAAACGTGCAAATGCACTAATGAATGCGTACTCAACAGTGGTGTAAAATGTCATTGATTTTTGCACTCAAGTACGTTTTTACCCCTTTATACTTTTACAAAAACTTGAAGTATTCAAGATTTTTTTGAGTAAAATATTAAACTATGCATTTCACATGCAGATATAAGTTAAAAAGTAAAAGTATTCAACTAACATTTGAATATGCGTTTTGAGTGTAGTGTACTGTTGAACTGAGATGGTTGTGGGAAGTGGCAAATGAAAGTACTTTTACTTTTGAAACTTATTAGAAAATGTAGTGGAGTAGAAAGTACAGATAAGTGATTTAAAATATTATGGAGTCAAAGTAAAAACTAGACCTCAAGAAAATTAAAGTAGGGCTACAGATACAGAATACTTGTACAGTAACAGAGTACTTGTACGTAGATGCCGTCACTGGAACTAAAGTACTACAACTTTTAAATAATTTATGTAAATGCTATATTCAGTCAGATTTAATAAAGTGCTTTTTTAAAATGTATTTAATAAAAGGTGCTTTGATCAGAAACACCCTTTCACCTGTAACAAAAAGTAAAGGTTTCTATTAAATGTGAACTACTGACTGCAAAAGTTTTAAAGGCGAATGAACCAAAAACAACGCAAGGGGTGACTATGTTATCTCATTTTTAAAACTTTTATTTTCATGTCATTTAAGACACTTCTGATGTATTAATCCAGGAAATGGTAGTTTTATATCAATATTACATCTAATATAAACACACATAAAAACATTATGTAGCAAATAATACTAAAGATAGAGGACGTCCACCCCCGTTAGTTGTAATGGTACAGACCAAATCCAAGCGCAGTGGGATTCTCCGCTGGAGAAGAGAGCATCAGCTGTGCGGCGGCGTGTCGGGGCGGAGAACTTCTCTCCCTCTTCTCTCTTGTCTTTCGTTACCCTTAATTCCTTTAAACGCCTTATTTTTTTCATTTTATTTCTCTCAATAGAACCTACGCCGCTGTTGCTTCCGCTAACAGCTCGGTTTAGTTTAATTTCCCCCCTTTTTGGACCCACTCGGTCGGGAGAATATCCTAGCTAGTTTTCAGACAACTGGAGTGACTCGGCTAAGTTTCCCTGCGTTGTGCTTGAGGAATGAGAGAGGAAGAGCCGAAAAAAGCCCACAGTGAGCGAACAAAAGGACAGAAAGAGAGGGAACTGCCGTCGCAATGGAGGAAAACACTCTTCCAGAAGCAACATGTAAGTCACCGCTTGTGGACGGGAATTCGATTTCAGCACTTTTATTCGTTCGGGCTAATTTTCCAGGTTGAATGAAAACCGTTTGAAACGCAGCAGAGGTTCCCTGTCCATAGTTTAAGTGGCAGTGTTGGGAAGACGGGTTGGTGGAAGAAAAATGAATCCCAGGAATCGTGATTGTAGCGCAACGTTATCATTCACCACCCCTGCACCCCAGTTTTAGGGCAGAATTTAATGTATACGATTACAAAAAAGTGATGTCATTATATCAAGAATAAAACACAGGGATGATGATCATCCAGCTGCTGACGTCTGCCTACTAAATAATGAGGTTGCCATCCCTGTGCAGAAAGCCGTGAAGGTTATAATAACACAATTTCCTCTGGATGAGGTAATCTCACTGTTCCCATCCCATCCCCCTCCTTATGTTAGCCCTTTAATAACATGATGCACTTACAAACGGATTTTGCATCCTTTGCTGTTTTTGTTTTTGTTGTTCTGATCTACCAAATGTTTTCCGGATTCACTGATGCACAGGTGCAGCCATGCTCGTGTACTGTCAATGCATGGGTGCACCAAGATACAAGCTGAGGCTTTTCTCTTGAGGATTATGGCCCCTGAAAAGAAAAGAGAGAATTTTGACTTTAATCTCAGAATTTAGATTTTTTTTCTCAAATTCTGACTTTTTGATCTCTGAAAAATTATTTATCTTTTTTTTCTCTTCCTGAAGAAGCCTGAAATCACAATTATGTAGCACAGGTAGTCACTGAATCAGGAAATAGTTCACATTTTAAGGAGAATGCAGACACACCGGCAGGGGGCAGAGTTGTGCTGTTACCCCAGATTCACACTGGAGGCATCAGCAGAGCTCACGTGCTTTGCCTGTATCAATCCACACCAGGGGAGCGTCTCAGCTGCGGGCTAGGCTGCTTCTTGCTGGAATTGCGAGGCCACAAAATCCCTCAAGATTTCAAAGCTCACAGTTTATTTATGTCATCTGTCATTAAACCAAAAAGGAGATCATCACTGATGATGTACGTATTAGGGTTGCACGTTTTCCAAATATTTGTTTAACCAGTTATTGAAGCTGTTAAATGGTTAATACTTGGTTAACCATAAGCAGGGTCGTTTAGGTTAAGCATTACACCAAAGGAATATATTTATTAGAACAAACATTGGTATAAAATAGGGCTGCAACAAACGATTAGATAATCGATGAATCGGATGGGGTCTCAACACGATTAATCGGATTACATGGGGACATTGTTAAAAGCTGCTAGGGAAATGTTATTTCTCTCCTTCCTTCACTTTATTAAACACAACATTATTAGAAAACAGTTCAATAGCAGAAAAACAACATGCCATCACCTAAATTGTCTTATAAGGTGTATAGACAGAGACCCTAACCCCCAAATTCCACTACCTCCGCTCCGCTCCGGTCCGCCCCGCCTTCCGCAGCCGCTCGCTTCCAAACTCAATTTTTACTGCTACCCGCTCTACAACGGCTCCGCTCCGGTGCGGAGACCTGAGGTGGGCAAACAAGCATGCGTGGGATTTTCGAGATCTTGCGATACAGTCCGAGCAATAAACGCGGAAGTTAGATCCAAACACCCGTTGTGTGGGAGAAGCATCGAAATGAGCTGTTTAATCTGCCCATCAGTTGTGTTGAGAGATCAGCAGTGTTTGGATCAACAAAGTGTGACTACTTTGATAGTAGAAACTGTATTTATGGCTTACTTTTGTGCATTTAAATTTCAGCCGCCATTGATATTTGTTAAAAGTTGTTAAACCTGTGCATATGAAACAAAAAACGCCTTTTGTTTATCAATTTATTGTGAAAAACGGAAATTGTGCTTGCTCCTTTTCCTGTTGGGCCGTTGTGATTCCTGTCCATTGACTGCGGAGGTGCTCCGGCGTCCGGCGAAAATAGGATCGATTCTATTTTTGCCGGACGCCGGAACAGAGGGCGGTGCACGGCGCCGCACTGCCGGAGCACGGCCGCAGTAGTGGAATTGCTCTGAATGACTACAACGGGACGGATTTTGCTCCGGCGTTCGTGTCGGAGCGGAGCGGAGGTAGTGGAATTTGGGGGTTAGCTACACCTTTCTGTGACCTAAAATGCTTGGTCCAAGTTAAACAGCTTAAAGAGCAAGTCAACCCCTACCAGAGTCTAACTCCACTCCCACTTCATGTTTGAAAAATGCAACAAATGCTGTTGCCTGGCACAGTGGTACTCAACCTTTTTTCACTGATGTACCCCCGTGAAATATTTTTTTCAGTTTATAAGCAAAAAAAGTTTATTTGGGGGTGACTTGCTCTTTAAGGGGAATTCTCATCTGTTTTATTTGATCTCATCTGTAGACATTTATTATAACTGGGGATGTCAAAACAACTAATTTTTAAATGTAATTAAACATTGGCTGTGAATTAATCAAAATTAATCACTATTTCCAAAAATGACTGAAAAAATACCAAATAAAACAAAAGTAAATGAATGCCATCCTCCTTGTGATGATGCCCTGGGCAACTGCCATAAAGTCACATCAAGAAATGCTGCTGATCATTCCAATGATTAGGGCTGTCGCGGTTGAGGAATTCCCCCTGCGGTGATTCAGGGTGGCTTAATATTGCGGTGTGCGATATTATTGCAGCCCTTTTTTTATTGCAGTACTATCTAAACATAATGTTTACACATTTAAAAAAGGTTAAAAATGGCCATGCCTTCTTTTATAACACTTTACTGAATGCAGATCAAAGGGCAGTAACAACACAGATCGCAGTAACGTTTGTTTCTCCGACAGTCGGAGTCCGACTGAACTTAAAAACAACAAAATTCAGGAGGTTAAACTTTTAAATGCAAATTTGGCTGCAGCATCTAACAAATAAGAAACAAGTCCCCATTTTGTTTAGTTGTTTAAAATCGAGCATAAATAATTACATGTACCGGGCGCGGGGCACTATCATTTCACTTTCACACACACGAATGACGGTGATTTATAGCTCGGTCACGTCCTTGTTACCCACAAGGAAAACCAGCATGTTAACCATATATGGTTTGAGAGAGGATCTGAGAGGGGGGGCAACATTTGCAGCAACACTGAAAACCCTCTCGGATGGTGCGCTCGTTGCACTAACGCACACGTACTTGCGTGCGACTCTGGCGAGCAAAGGGAATCTCTCCCGCTTGTTGCTCCACCGTGTCAGGGGGTTTCTTTAGGGTGGATGCATTCCTCCTGCAGGTAGCGAGTGAGCTCCAGCTCGGCTCAAACTCTCTTCAGGACGGCTGCAGAAGCAGTGCTTGTCCGGGACTTCAGCAGGTCTCCGAGCGTTTATTTATTTATTTATTTTTGCCGCTGGTGGCAGCTCTGTCTCGGCCAAGGACTCTGGCTGCGCAGCAGCTGACGTACTGAAAACCAAAGTGCTCCCAAAGGAGCGAAGTAACGTTTCGTTTTGATACCAGTGCAGCCATCCTTCTCAACATGCATCACTGAGTTGAACCAAGTTCAGTAATCGCGGTGGCGCATGATGCAGCGCGGTGGGTTTCTTCATATTGCGATATTTCATTTTTGCGGTTACCGCGACAGCCCTACCAATGATCCCAAATAGACTCACATTAGGCCACATGAAAGCAACTGAACCCAAAAATATATTAACCAGTATATAACTGCACTCTCACACAACACGCCTGCAGCGAGCGTTAGTACTTCTCCTTCCCTTTTAAAAGCGTTTTCGCTTCTGAGGACATTGTGTTGCTAGTAGTCTGGCCCCGGTGTAATCAACCAGTTTCTGTGGGAATGTGACGGCGGAACCGGTTCGCAGCAGCTCGAGTCCCCCCCCCCCCCCGGTTATCTAATAGCGTCGCGCTTACGATTTTATAGACTTTTTTTTACGAGCTTAGGGCATGTCTAGCCTGTGTAATAATCTGGGGCTTGGGTGAATCACTTTTGATAAGTTTTTAACTTACCCGGACACCGAGCTCTCTCCTTCCTCGCTGATGATTCGGCATGCTTGCGTTGCTGCATCATCACCGTAGTACTCCCGTGCCATGCTAAGTCTGACCTACAAACGTTGCAGGTAACGAATGTCTTCGCCTGATTTAACTGAAAATGCTCCCAAACTTTAGAAGTTTTTACTTTTTGGGTCTCGCTGCTTCTGCCATGTTCCTCTTCCGAACACCTGCCGGCTCTCCCTCGCGCTGATCTGACTTGCTTCCGGTCTGTGCGCAACGGCGGCCGTCGGGGGTGGGGGTGGGGTGGGGTGGGGGGGGAAGAGTTGCGCAACACAACGAATCGATGATGCAATTCGTTGCCAACGCTTTTAGTAATCGATTTTCATCGAATTTATCGATTCGTTGTTGCAGCCCTAGTATAAAACACGTTTAGACTCGTCTAATAAAGCATAGTCTGTCCCTTAATGATCTCGTGTAGAAAACATGGACCGTTGGGATACAAGAAAAATATCCTGCGCAGAAAAATTGCGATATTTTGTGTTATGATACGGAATAAAATTTAAAAGCAGTGTATTGATTCTATTGAGAATTAACATGCAAGCATTTACTGTATTTCTTTTATGTGGTGTAATTCAAACTTCTACTTCTAGGTGGCAGCAGTTTTTACGATGTCATTTTGACAGAATGAGAGTTCGCGATGATACTGGATGTGTCTAAGCATCAAGCCTGAGTTTCCAATTGTTCAGTTTTAGAAATTGCAAACATGGTCTAGCTTTCAGAATTGCGATCTATCGTATCTTCTCCCCTGTGCTGTGATGTCATATATTTGTTCAGGAGCCTTGATGTTAGAAATAAAATTGTATGAAAAATGCAGCTGGATGCCGTGCCGCGGGGCATGTGATAGTCCTAAATGAAAATAATGTAGGTGTTCTTTTTGTGCCAGGTGTGCTTCGCCCTCATTTTTCCTTTTTCACTTACGTTGACTTTTTAAATGCTTCTGCGAGATGTTTATGAATTTAGCTTTCTGAGGGTGATTGTGGAAGGAATGAGGAAT